GTGAGTCAGCCAGCCATTTCACAGGAGAAAGACGAGGCTTTCTGTACCCACAGAGATTTGCAGCCTCAGACACACTATACACGTTTGCTATGAATCAATACCAACTCAACAACCCTTAACAATTCAACATGGAACTGGAAGTCTTAGGCAGAGGAATAAGGCAAGAAGAGGAAATTAAGGACTGCTGGTATGACGCTGTGAGTTCAGCACTGGATTGAGAACCACAAGGTTGGCAGTGCAAACCCATGGGCTCCTCCTTGGAAATCCTATACAGTGTCACTATTAGTTGGAAAAAATTAAATGACACTTAACAGCAAAAAATTGCCAAAAATAACAAAAAAAACTTTTTCTATTTGAAGATTATATGATCCTATACATAGAAAGTGACTTGATGGCACTTAACAACAACAACAACAACAACATACATACATACATAGAAAACCCCAAAGACTCAACAAGAAACATACTGAAACAAGTTAAAAGATTCATCAAAGTGGCAGGGTACCAGATAAAACACAAAAATCAGTTAGATTCCTTTAAACAAACAAAGAAAATTCTAAAAAGGAAACTGGGAAAACAATACCATTTACTATAGCCACACCAAAGATGAAATGCTTAGGAAAAAAATCTAAACTTGTTGTTAGGTGACATCGAGTCGGTACCGACTCATAGTGACTATGCACAACAGAACAAAACACTGCCTGATCCTGGGCCATTCTCACACCAGGATACTCTCTCTCTCTCATCCACCTCTTCATGGTGTTCCACATAACTCTTAAGCTTTCTTTGAATTTTTTTAATCCTTTCTTTTGTTTGTTCTTCTAGCATACTAGCATTGAGACTTTTATCTTCAAGCTCATTAATTTGGGCTTCCATTGCTTCACAACTACTTCTTTGCCCTTTCAATGTATTGTCTATTTCTGAGATCATAGTATCAATGTTCTGGATTTTTAACTGCAGGTTGTATATTTCAAAGTTTGCATTTACTTTGTCTGTTTGTCTTGCAGTGTTTTCTTGAATTCTTCTAAAGTTTTTATTGTGTTTTTCTTGCTTTTCTCTTTCTATCTATCATTTGAAGTTATCTAATTGAATTATTTTTCAGTTAGTTCTATTATCTTTTCATCCTCAGAAATGTCTTATGGTTCTGCATCTTGGTCATTTGTTTGAGCCATTTTCTCTTGTTTCTTTGTGAGCTAAAATTGCCTGTTGTCTTCAGGGCATTCATTGTGAGGTTGTCATATTTGTGAAAACACACAGTAGTTATTGGACTCAGAAGTGAAAAATCTTTGGAGAGCTCCTGTAATTCAAGGAGCTCATGAGGCAGTTGTGGAAGGGATGTGACAATAGAATTCCTGACTCTAGATGGAATTCCTGTTGGCCTCTGTGCTATGTTCAGAGTACTCAATCTGGAAGTAGTAGTTCATGTGGCCTCCTGATGGAGCTGGTTTCAGTGTCTGTTAAACCATACGGCAGCTGAGGACATACTGACTGGTTAAATGCTCGTCTGGTGGCTCTGCAGGTTTTGTAGATCTGGTGATGAGCCCACCTGAATCCAAGCACCAAAGTGACACACCAAAGCACAGCTGGCCCCCACCTCATGCTGGCGTGGCTTCCAACCATGCGACTCCAGATACCCGGAGAACAGGGTCTATGATAGGGATGAATGACGGGGAAAAAAGAATGTGGGGGAAAAGAAGAAATCACATCTTTTCTGCACGAATCTGCTTTGCTAGGCCTCCCTCTGCTGCCAAAGCTGCTCAAAAGGTGGTCAAGCCATGTCTGCCTAGCTGTTCACCAGTTATGTTTCTCTCTCTTTCACCATCCCTGATTTTGGTAAGCAAGTAAACAAAAGCCTTAGAGAACAAATAAGTCTACATAGGCCACAACCTCATCTGTCCTGCAAGTAGAATAAGTAGATGATTCTCAGCTACCACCACAGAGCTTTCAGACTGGGGTAGCTGGCCCCAGATAGAATGGGAAAAAATATGGAGCAGAACTCAAATTCAAGAAAAAAGTTTAAATGGCAGAGGAGAGTCAAACAGCTCAATGTCATATGATCTCTATAAAAAATCAGGGCTAAATGCAATAGACTTATCAAGTGAGGTGATATTACTGTACTGTTTCTGCTTTAGATAAGGTACCTCTTTAAATCATTGCTATCACACTATGGTTATTTGAGCTATAAAACATACAAAGGATAACTGAAGTTAAGCTACTTCACATCTAGATTATGATCACTATAAACAGAGTGTATATAATGAAATACAAAATAAAAAAAGTCAAATAAGACCTCTTTAATGTAAGTATGGAGTCCTGGTGTGGTGCTGTGGGTTAATGCGCCAGACAGCAAAGTCGGTTGAACTGCAAGGTTAGCGGTTCAAGCTCACCAGCTGCTTCTTGGAAACCCTGTATAAGGTTGGTATGAGTCAGAACCAACTTAACAACAACAACAATGTAAGTACATTAAAACTACTTTGAAACTTTTGTTTTCCCCCTAGTATACAAACAGGGGTTTGGGGACACCTGGGGATTCACTAAGCCCTTTCAGAGCTTCGATAAGATCAAATTTCAAAGGTCAGCTGGAGAAGACAAAGTCAAATATTACAATGAAATGTGCAAAGATCTGGAGTCAGAAAACCAAAAGGGAAGGACACACTCAGGACTTCTCAAGCTGAGGGAAGTGAGAAAAAAATTCAAGCCTCAACTTTCTTTATTGAATGATTCTCTGGGCAAATTGTTGAATGCTGATGCAGAAAGCATCAAAAGAAGATGGAAGAAATACACAGAGTCACTGTACCACAAGGAAATGGTCGATGTTCAACTGCTTCAAGAGGTAGCATATGATCAAAAGCCAACAATACTGAAGGAAGAAGGCCAAGGTGCATTGAAGGAACTGGGAAAGAACAAGGCACTGGGAACTGATGGATTAAAAATTGAAATCTTTCAAGAAAGTGAGTTGAAACAGGAGGGACTCACTCATCTATGCCAAGAAATTTGGAAGACAACTATCTGGTCGACTGATTGGAAGAAATCCATATTTGTGCCCATTCCAAAGAGAGGTGACCCAACAGAATGCTGAAATCACTGGACAATGTCTTTGATGTCCCGTGTAAGTTAAGTTTTACTAAAGGTAATACAGGAACAACTGCAACCATACATTGACAAAGAACTTCCAGTGGTTCAAGCCGGATTCAGAAGAGGACGAGGAACGAGAGATATCATTTCTGATGTCAGATGGAAGTTGGATGAAAGCAGAGAATATTAGAAAGATGTTTACCTGTGCTTTGTTGACTATGCAAAGGCTTTCGATTGTGTATCATGACAAGCTATGGGTAACATTGCAAAGTATGAGTATTCCGAAACACTTAATTGTGCTCATGAGGAACCTGTACATAGACCAAGAGGCAGTTGTTCAAATAGAACATGGGAACATTGAATGCTTTAAAATTAGGATAGAAGTGCTCCAGGGTTGTAGTATTTCACCATACTTGTTCAACCTGTATGTTGAGCAAATAATCTGAGAAATTGGGTTATATGAAGAAAAACGTGGTATCAGGATTGGAGGAAGACTCTGTAACAACCTGCAATATGCAACCTGCAATTTGCTTGCTGAAAGTGAAAAGGACTTAAAATACTTACTAATGAAGATCAAAGACCATTAACTTTGTTATAGATTCCATCTCAACATAAAGAAATAAAAAGTCCTCATTAATGGACCAATAAACAACATGCTTATCAATGGAGAAAATATTAAAGTTGTCAAAGACTTAGACATTTTTCTTGGATCAACTAATTATCAACACTCATAGAAGCAGCAGCCACAAAATTAAATGATGTATTTCAGTAGGCAAATCTGTTGCACAAGACCTTTTTAAAGTGTTGAAGAGCAAACATGTCAGCTTGAGGACTAAGGCACGCCTGACCCAAACCAGGTATTTTCAGTAACTTCATATGCATTTGAAAGTTGGACAGTGAATAAGGAAGATCATAGAAGAACTGATGCACTTGAGTTATGTTGTTGGAGGAGAATACTGAAAGTACCATGGACTGCCAAAAGAACAAACAGATCTGTGTTGGAAGAGGTACAGCCAGAATGCTGCTTGGAGGCCAGGATGGCCAGATTTCATCTTACATACTTCAGACATATTGTCAGGAGGGACCAATCACTGGAGAAGGATATCATGTTTGATAAAGTGGAGGGTCAGAGAAAAAAAGGAAGACCTCCAATGAGATGGATTGGCACAGTGACAGCATCAACAGGCTCAAGTGTAGCAACAATTGTGAGGTTAGCCCAGGACAGGGCACAGGGTAGGGTCGCTATGAGTCAGTATCGACTTGATGGCACCTAACAACAACAAATAAGTTCAAAACTTCATTAATAATACAATTAAGTTATTTTCCCCTTTCACTCTTATTCTCACACAAGCACACAGTGAAGTTGTCCAGGGGTTACATGATTTATAGTAATATCATCATTATGATGGGCAATGGTGTGTATGAAGGGGGTAGTAACCAGTTGTCTTTTCTTAAGCCAGAAATGAAAGGTATTTGCAAAATTACACAATTCCAATTCTCCCATTGCATTTTAAAAACCTTGAAAACATAGATTTAAAAAGTTATCTATATTAACATGCTATTATTTTTTAAAGAATTCATAAAAATGTATTTTTGCTGTCTTAATTTATAATACAATAAATATCAATAGATATAATCCACATAGACAAATGCTCCTTGGGAGTCCTCAATGCTTTTTAAGTGTATAAAAGGATCTTTTGGCTAAAATAAATGAAAACTACTATTGTAGACAAATTTCCTTCTTTCCCTCTAAAATCAACTTTTGTCTAATGGAATAAAAAGAATATTTTTAAAATCTCTTTTGTAAATTTCATTGGGAAGAAAAGTTTTTTACACCCTTTCTGACGTTCCTTACCATGAAAAACATTCTCTAACAATGAGCAGAAAACAGACAAAGGCCCACTGAAACAAAGACTAACCCTCACCTTCACCAATTCTGTGTAGCCTGTTTCCTTTGCAGTCCACCAAGGCTGGGCTTTCAGTCCTTTCACATTGTAGAGGGATCGCTGCCAAACAGATGCGAAATGTCCTCTCTTGTACCCAAGCTCGTACCACTTATGTGCCTAAAGGGACAGAGAGATTGACATACAAACTATTCTTTAAATTTTAGCATTTTAAATACTTTAAAAATTGAAACACTAACAATAAGATATTATTTTGAGACATTGAAATAAAGAGCTTGCCAGTTAGGTTGCCTGAATCTATCTCACTGATGAAAATCTGTTATTTCATTGAGTTTCTGATTATGATCTATTACTACAGATAAATGAATAGATTATATTTTCACCCTTAGGCTATAAACTCTCTGAATACAGAACTTAGGTTTCACTCATTTTGAAATTTCCAAGAGCACCTGATATAATGTTTAGAACTTATTTGTTGAGTGGATGAATAATTTAAGACACCAAATGGAAATACTTTCACATTTTTGCTTTCGTTTCTTAAATGTTCTTAAAAAATTTTTTTCTTACTCAAGAAGGAATGCAATTTTAATGTCTTCTAGGATATTTACATTTAACTAAATTAAAATGCTAAGAACATAGAGAGCAGTTTCTTTTGTTATGTGCATTATTTCCACATCCTCCAGGCCATCACAAGGTAACAGAGTACAAGTCATCCACTAAGTTAAGTAAAGAGAAAGGAAATATTATTTTGAGATGGCAATGAATGCAATGATAGTCTATATTAGATTTTATAAAAAGGAAAATTTCATTCAAAATAGTTTCTTTTGCATAAAGGATAACATTAGTGGCTTCAGACTAGCTGTAGCATGATATAGCTTGCATCCAGATGACTACCCTTTTCAGGGACAGCAAATGCAGAGTATACTGCTCCACATGTCTGCTTCCAATGACACCAAGACCTCTAGGAGTCGCTCTCCTATATGTTTTATAAACCCTTCTGGATATACTGCCCCCAGAGTCCTGGTGTAGGGCTATAGGATAAGCACAAGACTGCAAGGCTGACAGTTCAAACTCACCAGCCACTCCTTTGGCAACCCTATACAAAGTCACTATGAGTCACAAATGATTCAACAGTACTTAACAACAACAAAGGCTTTTCTACTGGTTCCTAACTATTGTTCTTCTCAGTATTGGTCTGGGAACAAGAAGATTGGCACTTCAAACCCACCAGATGTTCCTCAGAAACCCTATATTATGAGTTGAAGACTCTTAACAATAATGATCTAATTATTACTTTTGAATAATGACTTCAGATGTTTGTTTTGTTCAATAAAAACATTTCAAGCTGTATAATGGTCACATAAAACTCTAACAACACATTTTTGCTGTTAAGTTCCATCAGGTAGATTCAGCTCATAGTGACTCTTTGTAGGTTTCCATGGCTTTAAATCTTTGCAAAAGCAGAATGTATTAGATGTTAAAACACACACACACAAGAATTTTAAAGTTCTTATATCAGAATTTCCTTCAATATCAAAATGAAATGCAATACAAATCCTTGCTTTCACAATTACATATCTCGTTTGATTTTTAAAATAAGCTCAAATATCTCTATCTTACAAATGCTTGAGATTCAGAAAGACTGAGTAACCTCAACTAGAAGTCAGGATTCCAGAAAATTTGTTTTATTCTCCTTCATTGCATCAATGAATAAAAAAACTCTTAGAAGCAAAATTCCCATTTAATCAGTCTCAATGATATTTCAAATTAATAATGTATATACTTAGAATTTTTATTCATTTCCATTGAAATATGTGTAAACTTTAGTCATAAAGAAGTATCTGTTGAAATAAAAAGTGGATATAACTAATTATTGTCTGATTTTTAAAAATTAGAATTTTACCTTTCAAATTTATTTAACCACCATAGGTATGTTTTAGTAATCAGCATCACCAGTGGTGGACAGGTTTCAGCTGAGCTTCCAAACTAAGACAGACCAGGAAGAAGGAGAGATGGACTAATTTTTTTTTTAGTTGCTTAAAATATTTATTTTTTATTTGGCCAAGCAAATTGCTATGTTTCATTTGTTATCACTTTGTTTTTAAGTGTTTTCTGATACATTATGATTATTCATGTTATTAATTACCTCTCATGCATTTATTTTACTTTATTTTATTTTTAATGTTTTGTTGTGAATTATGTGCTAGTTTACATGGGAGAACCTTAGTTTTACATTCATCCTATCATATAGCATTTCATTGCCATGGTTACAATCCCCTCCATGCATCATCAACCAAGCAAAGGGTATACACTACAAGCCTGCCCACCGGTCATCAGCACACAGCGCCTCTCCCTCTCTGTGTTTAAAGCCCCCAACAGCTCCATCTCTCCAAGTCATTGTCTCTACCTCCATCTCAGGCATCGCCGCTATCATCTGGGTAGGGTCCCGCTCTCTGCTCTTCTACCTTGATGGTCCCAGGAACCTCTGCTCCTACACTGAAAAGTTAATCACTCCCCTCCTTGCTATCAAACGTCTACCTTTACATTTCAAACCCTAACAAGCAGTCCTGATAACAATTATTAACTATTGTATCACAAGAGGCCAATCTGCATTTCATTTCATCAGCCCCACTAGACAGACTGGATACTACTCAGTGGAGATTCTACCTTCCTTCACACCCTCTGAATCTAGGGTCCCTCTTGAAAGCTTGTAAACCAGTCACTTCTTGCCTCTGTAGCCCCCCTACCCCCATTTTGGGTAGCCAATGTCCAAGCTGCCCATCCATGTCTACTCTGTGTATAGAGGGTGTGGGAATGATCCTTGGTGTAAGGATTTGTTCCCTTTTTATAGCTACTGCATGCATAGGTGTAGGTCAAGTTCATAAAATTGTATCAGATAACTTTTCTTTTCCTCTTCTTTCTTCTGGTTGAGCTCTGATCATCCAGTCATTGAAGCAAGGTCAGGTGGGTATTATCTTCAAGTGTGGGTGTTCTTATGCATATGCCCTCTCTTCTTATCAGCTAGATGCTTCACTCTCCACTCTAGTCCTCTGTGGCTATGTCACTGATTCTGGACCCAAGAATCTCCAGGTCTTGCCATACTGCTGGCCAACCAGGTCTCCACCAGGGTTCAGAAGAGTCTATTGAACATTGTATGGCTTAGCTCGCCGCTTCATTGCTGCTTTCCCCTCTCTTCCCCTTATCAGTGACGAGCGTTATCACCAATCAGAACGTGTATTCCTATTGAGTCTTAGTCTTGGAAGGGGATTTGCACTGAAGGGAACCGACCACTTGCCTTGATGTCTCCTGGGCAAGCAACTTGCTTGTTCTTAGTAATAGTCAGTCTGCCTCTATTGTTTTGTATTTTTGCTGTAGGTCTTTCTTTCAAGAAGTATCTTCTATTCTTCTAGCCACTCTGGGCTGGTCTGCTCGTCCTTTCAAGTGGAAATTTACCATCTCTGAAGATCTGGATGTGATTCAGGCTTCAACCTATAGTCTTATGTAATGCAGAGGTTCCACAGGTAGCCTCCTTCACTGCGCATGTTGTAGCCCCATTTTAGGTATTCCAATCAGTTATAGGCAGAAGACAGACTTACAAGCTTTCTATGGTGATGTTTCTGGCTATTCCTTTCTCTCCCCCGTCCAGTGTCTATTTTATAATATAATGCAAGGAAAACCAAGATTCAAAAGACAGCCAAGCATCTTAACATTATTCCCCTCTTTTCCCTATTCCAACCATGTCTCAATCTCTGTATCCCAAAGCCCTGTTGTTCCCAGGTTGTCCATACATCATTATTTACCTCTGTCCCACTTAGCCCATGCAAACCTACCTAATTGTTTTCCCATCTGCTTTGTTCTTCCATTCCCCTCTCCCTTCTTGTAAATTGCACCTCTCCCCAGCACCCAAACTATCCTGTGTCTATTCCCTGCCCTGTGCGCCACCTTTCTCTCCTTCTCCTCACCCCCTGCCGAACATCCCAGCAACCAGCAAAGAATCCACACCCCATTAGTATGGGTTCTTTTTCTTAAACTTTTACAGTAGTGGTGCTTTGCAGTATTTCCCTTTTGTGACTGATTACTTTCACTCAACATAATGTCCTCAAGGTTCATACATGCTAAGCGGCGGCTTGCAGCTTCCTTGTTATTTTTCAAGGCAGCATAGTATTCCATT